TTTTTGACACTTCTATAGAATTATAAAATTGATCATGTATGTGCACACAGTTTCATGGTGAACCACAATGTGTTTGACACAATCATGACCATCTTTTACATGCCTCAATTATGTACCTCTAACATACAAATCATGTGGAATCCTTTATAATCACTGCCTCTATCTCTGTACAAACTCTCAAGGTAGCCATACCTTGCTTGCGGGTTGGTGTTAGTGGAGAATTGATCTGCTCCACCCTCTAACCCTTCAAGCATTATCTATATAGGTCTTGTTGATATATTGTGGATATCAGATGAACTAATACTGGGGATAAATACATCAACCCACTATTGTGGATGGGGAATTATGTGGATTTCTAATTAACATTGTTTTCTGTATCCAATCATGCTCATTAAGTTGTTACAAATTGAATCATGTTGTGTGCCGAGGGTCACACTCTGTTCCTAGGGCAGTGTTAGTAGAGCGCAATTATTCCATTCCATAGCCCTACGAACAATTGTATAAGGACCTCTTTATATGTTATTTGGTCTTTTGGCATTGGAACCCCAATCATGTATGTCTACAAGAACATAGGATGAATCATGTATGTTTCTGTTAATGGTGAGGTATTGTGTATGTGGAAAGAGCTTTGTTAGGGGCTATCTACTCAATTTTATTATTGGCTTTAAGCCCTCTTTGTTTCCCTTTTTTAAGATTTATATGAAATAAATAAATATATTTTTACATATTGTGGTTGGAGTTGTCATTTTCTGGTGCTTTCAAAACCCCACTTTTTCTTTCCTTAAAATAATTTTTTTGCATACATTATAACCATTAAGAACCATGCATAAGTGGTAGATTAATATTACTTTGTTAGACATTTAAACAAGGTATTTTCCTTCGGATAGTTTGGTTTGATTCGATTTGACTGCATGTGTATGTGTGTAGATAAATCACTAATTTTTCTGCACAATTTCATCACCTTATTTAAAAGTTTATGTAATTGTCATCTTTCCTTTGTTTCATTTGTGTAAATAATTTTTTTGTTTTTATTGTTTCACTTTTAGCAATGTTAAAATCACTGCTCTTTTAAAAATGTTATTTTTTAAAAGTGTTTTTTTCATTGATTCCTATCCCCCAGGGCAGTACTCGCATCCCCATTTATGGCCAATACCTTGCATATAAGTTTTCAAAACGGGGATATTTGATATTCAGATCCTGTAGACATGCATTGACTTCGAAGTTCGAGTTCAAACCTTTTTCATGTTCAAAAGTTTGAACTCAAACCAAACTGAGGTGTGTTGAGCCCATCACTATTGGGTAATATGCCTAGTAGCAGGTAATAACTCATCCTAAAGTGTATATCCAGCCAAAATGTTTTTCTTCAGTTTAGATAATATAGGGAAGGATTAGAATCCCTGTCCATGACTTTTTTCTAGTTTCTAGTTTCTAGTTCTAGGACAGCATGGGAAAGCATGAAAACTTCTGTCACAATTTTACTGCTATACAGGGCTCCATTAGAAGGATTTACCTTCACTTCCTGTCCTGTTCACAATGTTTTACCAGCAAAGTGAGGCTAACTCAGTAACAGCAACATAGTCATAGAAGAATAGGCTTTTGTTCAGTAGTAGGGAAAAGGTAGAATCCCTTTCAGACTTTTATGTGTCCCTGTTGCAGATTTTCCCCACTTCATGTTTGGTAAAATCTCTCTAATGTAGCTCTGGATAGCAGTAAAATCCAAAAAGGAGTTCTAACCCTTCCTCTCTCTATCCAAAACAATAGAAGTATTGAGCAAAACAAAATAAGTTGGTCATAACTCTAAATGTTATTATAATCTATGTATGTTTATTTTCTGTACAGTTTTTATGTATAATTTATCCACCAACAACAATCTACATTTTCCCTGAAAAATTTTCTACTATGCATTTTTTCAATGGAGAGACATTTTTAAGATGTTATCTTGAGATATTTTTTTTTTACTTTTGCTTTATTTTCTCCTATCTGTGAACATTCTTTAACTTTTCTAAAGTAGCAGAAAATAAACTGGCATAATAAAATAATATGGTAAATTGAATCATGTTTGCCAGCATTCATCTAATGTAACAAAAACTATGTTTAAAAACATGAGCATCTGAGAACATTATCTAAGGGCATTCAATACATAATACATACTCTTGTTGGCATTTGTTATGAAATGGTCCAATGAACATGCATTTCTTTACCAGAGCAAATTTCTTGTTTAGAATCATTTGTTCCACCAAGGAGGACTCATTATGGAAAAGATGAGGCTGCATATGACTCCACATGTGGGGGAACCACCAAAACTCATCCACCGATCCTAGCAAGAGGTCATCTCCCATATCCTCCTTTTCAGTACCTGAAAGTATATTCACAGGAAATGCCAGTGTGTAGTACATAAACTTGCAATTTGAGTCATTAAAGTTAAATTCTAGTCATTTGAAATACGTTGTACAAACATGTGTTGTAGTTGAGCTCCAACTAAGTGACTTTACTAAGGTTGACATGATGTCTTCAGTGTGCTGCAAGCAGGAAGAAACCAATTGTCTAAGTTTCCCCTGCAATCAGACTAAAACATGGTAACTTCGTGGCAAGTAAAATGGTGAGAAACTGTAGCGGGGGGTCATATGTAGCAAACATTTGTAAATACAACCAAGACACTCCTCATGGTCACAAACTGCTGAGCTTCCTTCAAACCCCAAAACATGTGAGTGTATTTCAGTGAATATTGTGTTGCTCATTTAAAAACGTACCTTATTGCGCTAGGTTGTGGCACTGCGGTTCTCTCTTTTTGTTTCTCCAGGATACACACCAGACACCCCGGTCTGATTTCACCAGGAGCCACACACCAGCCTTCAATACCCAGGGCCCCCAGAAGTGCGCTCCCCAAATTGGTCTTTTCCTTGAACTTTTTATACCAGGGTTTACATGACCATGTCATCTTTGAGCCAGCATCTACGTCCAGGGTGTAGATGCTGACCCTGGATGATGCCTGAACTAAGATGGCTCTGGATAGTGCCAGGGGGAGTATTGTGGTGTCTGAGAGATAATAAATACCTTACCTGCTAGTGTAGCACTTACACATTTCCTAGTATTTAAGCACTTAACTTAAAAAATATATCTGATCCTATGTCTGCTTTAGACAATACAGCACAGTCCAAGGTGCCATCTAGTCTGCTGATTTTACTATGAAGGAACGGAAGCTTAATGATGAGGTCATTTCCATGCTCTACCATCTTATTAGCATGTTTAGACAACAGTGTGAAATGCAGAAGAGCCCTGATTGGCTCAAAATGCTAAACCCTTCCCTTCCTTTCCCAGCTTGCTCTTTAGTAGATTGCCAAATGCTAAGGACATATTTATACACTTATACTACTTTTTTTACATCTGCCCCGAGTTCAAGTTTAATGCTCAGTTTTTTTCACATAATGCAAATATTGTACAAAGTCTATGTTAGGTGGGAGTAGTACATATCATTACCAAAAAATATCCACAATCAATTTGTTTAGCATAATCAAATGTCAACAAACACACTCATGAGTCACTTTGAAATGTCTTTGTTTATCTGAGTAAAAGGACGTGTGGTATTTTGATAACTATCAACCGGAGAGGGCAGAGCATTTATATACAATAACAGAGTCACCTAGCCTTCTTCCTGCAATCATGATAATGGCAGTGTGAGGGAAGGAAATGTAGAATACCCCTGGTGTGACTGCACTTACAATTATTGCAAAATGATATATGTTCTGAAGTAGCAAAATCATTCTTGCTATCTCAGTTATAAAAGTGTTTTTGGAAAAAGAATGTTTGCCTCTAATAAATATACAGTATATTGTCTACTGGTAGAATTATCAGTTATTCAGAAAACATATATTATCAATTTACTGTAAAGGCCATGACTTTTAATGCAGTGGCCTTACGTTGTTACTGCATTCCCTTTTCCTGTTTTCTTCTTCTTTTTTTGTGTAACTACCTTTACATTACATTTGTTCTTATTTTAAACCATTGAGCAGTAAATGTATTTATTGCCAGTATAGAATTATATTTTCTATGCTATAGTGTACTCGTTCTCTGGTTCTTTTCCTTTAATTTTTTTCAGCATTGTAAAGCTGAACCTTAGACTTGGGAGAAGAGAAGTTTAAAGCTTCCAGCTGCTGGGACAAGGAATTTCCACCTACTGCTGATCAGTTTTCAAAAAAGTTTCAGTCATTCAACTGATGGATCACTTTTTCTTTATCTACAGCCTGTTACCTGGAAGTAGGGCTGAGTGAACTGTGCAAAGTAAATTTTAAAGAAGAGGTCAGGGCAAATAAAATCTTCACCTTGCAGTGGGGCTACCCCTGCACTTCAAGGGTTAAGTGCTCTTTTTGTCTAGGGAGCTAAAATAACAGAATTATACTGACCTGATCCATGATCCTGGCTGGCTGCTACACTGGCTCCCCCTCCGGTCTACCGGTTCCAAATAAAATTTGGGACAAATCTTCAGAAATTCCGACATTCTGACACATCCAAATTTCTGAATCCCAATGCATCCAAATGTGTCTGAATCCGTATCTTGGTTTCTGAATTTCGGATCCCATCCGAATTTCGTTCAAAAACTAAACTGAATCAAACATGTGACTTTTCTGGCCAATCAGATGTGTTTTTCGGTTTAATGCATCCGAATGGGTCTGAACACAAATTTTTTGTTACGGCAACATGGGAGCCATATACATTATATACAATACTAAAGCTGAGGCTCCTACACCCAAATGGAATTAGGGATCCAAATTTCCGAATGCAATTCAGAAATTTGGATCCCTAATGCCATTCAGTTCTGGGAGCCTCAGCTTTTGTAATATATGTATATGGCTCCCAGACCTGAATGGCATTCGGGAGCTCCCGAATGCAATTCGGAAATTCGGATCCCGAATGCTATTCTGGTCTAGGAGATTCAGCTTTAGTATTAATATCTGTAAATGGGTTTCTGTTTTAATCTCAACAAATATTCGTAAACTCCTCTGAAACGCATGAAATTCGGATTCTGTCTGAATCCGAAATCCAAACCAAATTGAATTTCGCAACCAAATTCCGAAATAACGAAATATCCGTACCGAACAACATTTTTCAGCAGCTTACATGTATTCTAGGGGGCCAAATCCTGCTCTTTTTTTTTCAAAGCCAGTTTGCAAGCTTTGGCTAAAAAAGGACATGAGTAGCTATGCACTGCCATTGGGGACATTTACCAATGCAAAATTAGAAAAAGAAAATACTGTTCAGCAGGGAATGGGTCTTTTAATGCAAAGGACAATCCTTTAACCACCTGAGTACCAGCCTGTATATTTCCCTTCATTACCAGGCATTTTTTTCATTTTTAGTGCTGTGATAGGTTGACTACAAAATATTCTATCATGCAACACTGCATTCAATTAATTTTATACTTTTTTCAGGCCGATATAACTTTTTGGGGCGATATTTAGCTGCTGGGATCTTTATTTTTTACTATAGAAAGGAACAACTAATGACATTTTTGAAAAAAAAAATCTGTTTCCCTGTCTTTCAGTTAAAAACATACCAGGGCAGTACAAACAAACCCCAAATTGAGACTTTTTTGTAGATTAGATCCCATTTTCTGCCAAAACTTTTTGGAAATAAAAAACATGGTGGTATTGAGGGGGGTTAAAACATGGAGCTTAATAATGGTGAACTAGATACATCACATCAGGTCATACACAGAGGGATAAGGGAGTGAAAGGGTTAGTATACAGGTCACAATAGAGAGGCAGGCTGGAGATCAGTGGTTTAGGTAATATCGGGCAGTGAAAGGGTTAAAAAAGATCTGAGCCACTAAGAATCAATGAATGAGTCAGCAACTTCTGCAACTTCAGCAATCTCCCATTTACAGTTTACTGCAATTTCTCTCCTTTCTCTGTAGTAAGAGGAAGGGGAGAGATCATCAGTGTAAACAGTAACATGTGATCACTGTGATTAGTCATCACAGCAATCAGTGGCGGACCTAAGGAACAAAGGGCCCTGGTGCAAGATTTTTTTTGCCCCCCCCCAAAAAAAAAAACACAGCGCTCAGCCGGCTGTCACTTTCTCTCCTCCTGGCAATGGAGAGAGAGATGCAAGATGGGGGGGACAATGTGTATATAGCGAGATGGGGAGTTTATATATATATGAGAGGGGGGTAAGGTATATGTAGAGAGGGGTGCAATGTATAAAGAGTGTGTGTGTGGGGATATACAGTGGTGGAACTACAGCCGGTGCCTCGGCCTGTGGGGGCCCAGCATAGATGGTCGGACTTGCTGGCCGCCGGACAGCACCGGATCGCTGTCCAGCGGGCCCCCACTCCCGATGCAGAGATGGGGGGCCCGCTGGGTACCGATCCGGCGCTGGGACTGTGCTGGGCCCCCTAGAGGCCCGAGGCCCTGGTGCGTCCGCACCGCCTGCACTAGCAGTAGTTCCGCCACTGACAGCAATCACATGTTATCATGCCGCTTGGATCAATGTCTCTGTGTATTGAGCCATCTGAGATGTCATTTAACAAATGGGCGTCCATTTTCCCCAATTTTTTTACAATACAGCAATAGAGAGGTGGTTACATAGCATGCTTGGGGATGCCTTAGACCTGTTTGTGAAGTTGCAGGCTGGAATGTCAACACAGCTCCCATGTGTTGTCATTGACCAAATATAGTCATAACCATATTTGGTCAATGACATCACCCAGGTTCCCAGGTGTTGTGTTGACATTCCAGCAGCGCCAAGGAACTGTCATTTGTGATGGGAGTATTGGCAGGAGAGGATTATCGTAGCCATAGGTAGTTGTGCAAGCAGAAGAGGGCTTCAAAAGTCCAACTTGTTGAAATCTTGAAGCCCCCCTGAAAATAAGGTGGATGCCAGATATCCAGCCCCCTTCTCTATGTAAATATGTTAGGGGTACAAAGTACCCTATGTTACTCTTTCAAACAAAATAGTTAAATACTAAATAAAAACACCCATACCTTAGAAAAAAATCCTTTATTTAAAAAATAACCAAATTAACAATGTCCCCTGATGAAAATACAACGTCAATCATGTCTTCCTGCAATGTAGATGCATTGTGGGCAATGCCCAGATAACCCGCTGACACGATGAGCCATGCCACCACCCATGTCATGATCATATTTGGCAAATTACATCAACTATGATCACCGCTGGCTTGTTTACAATGTAAAACAAACCTGTGGGGAGCTATCATTTAGTGGAGGCAGCAGCAAGAGATTTGGGTGGGTGGGCAGTCAACTTGTCAAAATCCTAGCCAAACTGAATTCATGGTTGCAAACCTGAAGCTCATCACACATGGGATCTTCAATAGAATCCAATAAGCAGCAGTGGGCTGGTTTACCACCCACCCAACACCTTTCTTAGCAGAGAAAAACTTTACTGTGAGGATGTTGCGCACTTTCTGCACAAAACAATTTATAATAATATATTCAGTGCTGAAAAATTGTTTCCCTGGATTGATTGCTTGAGTTAGTTTATTGTTAAAGTTGACATTTAATGATTTTTAAGAGACATCATTATGTTGCCTTTTCAGGGCAAGGTGACAGTGTTTTTGGAAAAGGCATTTATTGGTCCCCCGTATACTTATTTAACTGAGCTCCTTTGTAGCTTCTTCCTCTTCTACAGGTGGTACTGTGAATTGCTGTGTCGGCAACCCGGGAAAACAGTGACGTCACTCCCCAGGTCAAACTCAGCCATACCCAGAAGTGCTGGGTATTCTTGCCAGCTGTGGAGGAGTAAGGAGCTGCAAATGAGCACAAGTAAGGTAAGCATATTGTTGCCAGGGAATGCCCTTTCCAAAGATGCTGTCACTTTGAAAAAAGACTTGTCTATTTTATCAACTGCTTGATGTCTATCTCTCAATTATTTTACTATTTGTTTGAAGTTAGTTGGTGAAGGGGGTGGGTGCATAACATACCATGGTAAATTACAGTTGCCATAGCCAGACTTCTGTTGAACTACTGTTTAAACACCCATAAAGATCACAATGTAAGAACAAACTCGGACAAAAAAGGCATTAAAATATTATGACAGATTTGTGACATGAGACATACAAGTGCTAATGTTTTCTTAATAAGAAAAGCCTTTGAAAAGTTTAGGAAAATCCATTACCATTTCTGCAGAGGCAACACATGATATTCAGGCCATCACAGTAGCTGGTCATAGACACAAGAGTGTTCAGACATATAGATGTAATTTAACCTCCTCAAGTGTGTCTTTTGGACAGCATTCATATAAACATGAATGCTGGGCTTGGTGAGAGTTCATGTTTATGCCCAATCAATGGGTAAGGCAAAAGGCACAGCCTCTGAGAATAACAGCCATATCTCAGGAGCAGTGACCAAGCAGGGAACATAGACAGGAGATGATCCCTAGATCTAGAAAATAAAAATCATCAGATAAGACAATTAATCCATGCAGTAAAGCTGCAGTTATTTTTAATATTATTTCATTCTGCTTTGTGTAAAAACATGTAAACTGAGAATTTAACATTTTGTCTCTTTTACATTATAAGTCACTAACCCAAAACAAGTTTGTAGATAAGGAAAGTTATACAACAAATTAGCCCTTATGCTTGTTTTGGGTTTGCAACTACACATAGCCATATAAATATTATTCAGCAAATAACAGACTGGAAATGTGCATAGAAACCTGACAATCACTTTGCTTTTACATCTACTGACCATGTGATTCAGAGGAAAATCCTAATAGACAAAAGTTAAGAGTTTTCTATTTTCCTTTAAGTTTTCAAAATGCTTACCTGTGTGGTAGAACTTCCCAGAAAATCCCAGATTAAAAGTAAAATTTGTAACCATAGATCTTAGTAATTTCTGTGTGTCAAGAAGAGCCTAAGAAAAATTAATAGAAGTCAGAAGATATCCATAAAGTCCAATAATTTACCATAACTCAAACTTCTGTCATCCAATATTCACCATTTTTGCCCTATAGCACTGAGGTTACGCCCAGCGGGGATTTTGTAACCTGATAAAGGTATATTCTCTATTAGTAAGTCCATATGGCTTAAACACACCAGAGATGGGCAGTAGTAGGAGCGGAAAAGCTATGTGATAGTAGCCTGCACTACACGGTGGAATAAAATGCTTACAGTGACTAGCAGCGGTGTGCTGTTGTCTTCCATCAAAATAATAAAAATAATAATCACTGCAAAGGGAAAATGCTCTTAAAAGAACTCTGTCAGGAGGTAGCAATATCCAAAAAGCCCAGGTGGTGAAACGCATGAGTGGCGGTGGAGTGGGAGAGAACTATGGTGGTGTATACCTTGTATTTTGAACTTTGCATGGAATTTACAACAATAAAGTTGGATTTTTTGGACCTCGGTTTCGTGCGGCTGATTGGAGAGATAATGTAACAGCAATACCCTATATAGGAAGAAGCTTTATACTACAGAGGTACCTCGGTTCACGAACGCTTCGGCAAAATGTTGCTTCCGTTCGCGAACTCCGCATCGGGTGATGAACACAACCGCAGCCATCTTCCCTGCTCTGACACATGGTCATGGCTTCCTCTAGTCGAGATTGCGGTCTGATCACAGTTTAATGCGATTGCGACCTATTCGGTTCGCGACCTGAATCGTGGAACGAATAAAGTTCCTGAACCGAGGTACCACTGTATTTGGCACTTCTGTGTGTGTAAGCATGTTCCCTGCTGTAGTTCCCCCCACAAACCCCTACTTAACCTCACAGCAGTGAGGTAGAGGTCAGGGGAAGGAACCACACTGACCAGCAGGGGTCACACTGCCCAACACAAATAGAAGTGTCAGACAGGTGTGACGGCCAAAGAGAATAAAGTTTCAACACATCAGGTGCCAGAAAGATGAGCATTAAGCTACTTACAGGGCTATTCACAAAAGGGTGAACAATCTAGGCCAAAATAGCTGATTTGGAAAAATTCTCCAATTCAGCTCACTTTCCAGTTCAGCTATGTTGTCCTAGATTGTTCACTTCTCCTGCCTTCTCCAAACTCTTCACCCTTTTGTGAATGACAGTGTTAGTGTATTTCTGTTGTAAGGTTTTTTCTACTTCCTGACATAATCTTTTTATAGTTACACTAAACTCGGGAATTAAACGTTAAAAATGCATTCAAGTAACTTAACAATTAACATAAATGGAGCTTATCTGTGCATCACTTGGCTGTAGATCCTCAAATCATCTCTGAATTTGTGCTGACACTGTCCTTCCTTCTGGATGGTGACTGCTTTTGTTCCCCATGGTACCTGTATGTGTTGGAAAGTAGCCACCACTCCAAGCTTGCTCCCAAGATGGACTACAATTTTGATACAAATGAGTAAACTAAACGTGAGATTATCACGTGAGCAAGTTTTGAGCAGTGGCTACTTTACAACACAGAGGGACCATGGGAAACAAAAGTAGCCAAACTCCAGAAGGAAGGACAGTGTCAGCACCATTTGGGAGATGATTTGAGAATCTACAGCCGAGTGATACACAAATAAGCTACATTTTTGTTAATAGTTCAGGTACTTGAATGCATTTTTAGATTTAACTCCTGAGTTTAGTGTCTCTTTAATACACAAGCTTAGTGTAGCTAAAATATATATGTTTTAAGAACTCTGTCCCTATGTATAGTTTGTAAATATACAGTATATCTAAATGAGGAGCATCCATACTGTCTGCCTTGCAGTGCTACACAGTGGCTTTTCACAACGAAATCTATGGATCATTTAACTCAATAAAATAATGCACTCCGTGTGTGACTGATATGTTATCTCAACCACTGTTAAGCAGTAAAATATATTTATTTTATTATAGCTCCTCTACCCCCAATAGTTGCTAGTGTGCAAATGTCTACATTTTATGCAATAACAAAATATATAAGCATGTACATATAAAATGTAAGCACATAAATACTTTATCCTAAGCATTGCAAAAATTACTCTATATACATATACATCACTAAAAATACACAATACATTTTAAATAACACCTTTAAGTAGAACTCTAGGGGGAAAAATGTTTTTTAGTTTTAAATAATTTGAGGAGCGGTTAACAGTTAGGAAAAAGGCCTCTGGGAGAAACACAGCACCAAAACATGAATGTGTGGGTGCGGGTGTCCCTGCTCGTACGCAGACAGGATGGATCACCTGCACATACAGGCAGTTCAGGTGAGCGTAGGCCAGCATACGGCCACGTTCTCCCATAAAGTAGGGTAGGCTGCTGCCTATAATCACACGCAGCACCTGTCCTTCCCGGGAGCGGCCCGATACAGCTGTGCAAGCTGCATGGATCTGTATGGGCCCACCGTTTCTCGTGTGAATGAGGGCTTAATGTCTGGAGGCAGGTTTTTACTGGTGATGGGAGTCTTTCTACCAAAGAGAAGCTTAAACAAAGTGCATTTGGTTATTTTATTTGTACCTTCTCATGTTTGCTATTTTTTATCTACTTCACCAAAATTAAGTTAACAATTGTTCCTGTATTTGCTAAAATTAATTAAATTATCTATATAAACAAAGATATCTATATATCTATAGTCAAAAAATCTGCATTTCAATAAATTATATAACTATAAATAAACTATATAAATTATATAACTAGAGTTGTTATACAATGGAATGATATAACTATATTTAAACCATACAAACTATATAACTACAAATCATATAACTAAAGAGATAGTAATATAGAAATATTGGAGACGTTCCTGCTGGACCAAACTAACATGGATCTAAATGTGATTGCTAAACAGCTGAATGGATCTAGGGCCTGGAAAATGAGAATGTTGCCATTTTTGAAGACTGTTCGGTAAATGAGACTATAAGTATTTTCCCATTTCATGTTTAAATCTGTTGGGTTATATTTCTATCTGAGTTGCTGATGGGGAGATTACCTTTCACTTCCTGTCAGAACAGGACATTTTTAAAAATCTCTCTAACAGGCACATAACAATGAATTCATTTTTTTTTTAAAGTTTAGAACATTGGAAAACTTTGCAAATAGTGAAGATAATATGCATGTCTCCAATAAACTAAATTGGAGGAGGAAAATGCAGAAGACTATTCTCTATGGTCAGTTATCACCTCAAGCACCAGTGATTGATCCAGGGTGAACGAGGCTGAGAAATGTCCAGTGTCCAAATCCAAGTCATCAGAAATTATTACCATGTTGGGAGACATGAAAGAGAATATCTGTGAGCCTCATCACAGAATAGAACAAGGAAGAGAGGACAACATCCTTGGTTATCTACTCTCACTAGTGTATCACAAAAAATAAAGTCTCTGACTTCCCTTAAATTTGACCTCATGTAGGTGGTCCAATGCCACCTTCACATGACACTTCCATTGCCTCATACAGTATACATACAGTTACCGCATCATACTATACATCATATCACATCATATCATTGTAAGAAACTTACCTTTCCAGCATCCCGAACAAGGAGGGTAGCTCGGCCTCCTCTCCGCCGACTTCACAACTCTCCTCCCTCCTTGTCAGTTTAAGCCGACAGTTTCACTTGTACGGTGTTCCTGCAATGAACACAGACGCCGGACAAGGCAGCTGAACCCACACTCTCCATTCTGAAGTAGTGACACCAGCCTGCATGCCTCTCTCCATCTTGCACTTCTAAGCAGGCTGGATGATCTCTCTCTATCCTGGACTTCATAATCAGTAGCAGCCCTCTTCACAGCAGTGGCTCTGAGTCCACCCAGATTCAGCCTCCAGGTCTGCTGCCATTAACCCTTCCAGGACATCCATGTGCGGTACTAACAGCCTGACCCAACAACCACTACATACCTGTTGCTTCCAAGCTGAGATCGCCCTTAGCAACCACTTGATCGTGACTTCCAATCGGTTTGGAAGAGGACTGTATGTACCAAACTCACCTTATCTTCATACTTAAATCATGAAACATACCAAACAAACCAAACAACATACCTATTATACACCACACTAGGAACTCCATTTACATATTCACCATATTCAAAGCCTCAGGGTTTAGTGCAGGTGATTTATTAGAGAGAAGAAGTTCTCTCACTCTTACTATATCATCTACCTTACCCGAAGAAAATTTTTACTGTAACTCATAACTTACTGCAATGTATGCATGCCTGTTTTACTTTGCTTTGATGTTTCAAAAAATACAGGCAGCACCTGGGAAAAGGGAGAAAATAACAGGGATTCTCATACTCTTAAAGTAAAACTTTTTTTAGCAATTTTATTATATTATTCTGCAAGTATTTCATATGTCGTTCTGGGATAATACATATAATTGGTGTATGTGTTTGGTTTACCTGTTGCTGTCCGCCCGTTGTGAAAAAACGGACGGACAGCACAGTGGCATTGGCGGGTTGCCCATCTCCAGACGGCTTTTTTTCTCTGCTCGCGTGCACCCCCTAGCCCCCTAATGTCTCCATAAAGAGGACCTGTCAGTGTGACTTTGCTATTATATAGGGGGATTGTTATCCACCTATGTAATAGCAATAACAATAAGTGTAAAGAAAAATTAAAAAAAGTTTAAAAAAAATAAAATTCACATATGAAAAAAGTAAAAAATAATAAAAGTCACATATAAAAAAGTTTTTAAAAAAGCGCAGGAAATCGGCAATTGCACTACACATGTTACATATCATCGCGAACATCGGAGGGAGAGCAATCATTTAAGGGCCATCAATCACTGATAACACTAAACTGATGAGATTTAAAAGCTTTTAAAGCGTCGCCAATGGCCAATTTTGGGTATTGTAGTACTTTGAGGTTTCGCGCGTGCGCAATTTTAAAGCTTGACATGTTTGGTGTATATTTACCCGACGTGACCTCGTCTCTTATATTTTACCAAAAAATTGGGTAATAAATGTTTTATCATTTAATATAGAGGA